CATCTTTTTCACCTGTTCAGCTTCATATATTATTTTATAGTTTCCATTTTTATTCTCATTTTATATAAATAAAATGAGAATATATGTGTATATATACATGTATATATACATATATATATAAAATGAGAATATATATGTATATATACATATATAAATAAAATGAGAATATATATGTATATATACATATATATAAAATGAGAATAAAAATGGAAACTATAAAATAATATATGAAGCTGAACAGGTGAAAAAGATGCTATCTTAAATGAAAAATTTAGTAGATAGGATTAGTGGTGGAGTGTACACTAGAACTTGAAAACATGGCATTGCTAATAATCCAAACTGAAACACAAAAGTCAGAATGAGTCACACCTGCCACTAAGAAACAACTTTAAAAAATCATAAATAGAATGAAAATCTAGCTGTAAATAGTAGACAAAAATTTCAAGGCAAAGCATATTATCAGAGATAAACACCACCATTCCAAAATGATAAAGTAGACAAAAATAAAGAGGCCATAGCAATCTTAAATTTGTATGTACCTGATAAAAGTTTCAAAATATATGAAGAAAAATTATAGAACTAAAAAGAAAAAGAAAAAATGCATTACAATGGTCAAAGATGTTTAACATCTTTCTCTAAGTCATTGATAGAATAAGTAGACAGAAAATCAGTAAAACAAACTTCAACAATTGATATTGAAGGAACACTTTGCCCAACAACAACAACAACAACAAAAAACACATTCTTTTCAAGTACACAGAATATTTGCTAAGATAGACTAAATTCTAAACTACAAAATAAACCTCAATATATTTAAAAACATTCAAGTCCTACAACATGTTTTCTGCAACCTGAGAGCAAAAGGATGAGAAGATTTGTTCAAAAAGCCAGAGAGAGTGTCCTGAAAGACAGGACCAGCAAAGGCAATGTCCTACAGCACTAAGAAAAATAAGTGATATGAGCAGAATAAATATTGGAATAGAATATTTTAAATTGTTATGATGAAAAGATTATATAATTAAATTGTTATGATAAAAAGATTATATAATTCCTACCTAGTTAATGCAAGAAAAGCAACTGAAAACTGATCAGAGTAATTAAAGGATTTAGTAAGATAGGCAGGTATATCATCATGCAGACCAAAAGAACCATTGTTGAAGAGCAGAGGCTATGGAGAAAGTCATTGCCTTGTTTTAACCAGGTTTCATTTCTTCCTAGATCTACTATTGCCATGGTCTAGTTACTTAGCTTCTCTATACCTCTGTTCTTCATCTACAAAATGGGTTAGTAATGACACCCACTTCACTGAGTTGCTTTGA